AACTCACACAGACCGCATCCTCCATTATAATAGTAATCATCCGGTTTCCCATAAGGCCAGCTGTATTAGGACGCTGTTCCAACGTATACACACGCACTGCAGCACAGCGAGGGCCAAATTTGAGGAGAGGAGGTATTTGCACCGGGTCTGCCGCTTAAATGGCTACCCTCTGAAATTTGTAAGACGCCACAGCGAGGTACCCAAATCCCAAAATGACCAACGAGGGAGGGAACTTGGCACACAAACCACACGCGTCACGTTGCCATACATCAACAACGTATCGGAGGCTACGGCCAGACTACTGGCCCCTTACAACGTGAAAGTGGCCCATCAGCCGGACCAAACATTACGGTCAAAAATCATGCGCCCAAAGTACCCCCTCCCCACGATGGAAAGATCGGCGGTGGTCTACAGAATCAATTGCATGGATTGTAAGAGCCACTACATGGGTGAAACATCTAAAAGACTTAAGACCCGTCTCCACGAACATAACTTGGCCATCAGGAGAGGTGAGCAGTACTCACAAATATGGTCTCACATGGCCGAGCAAGACCACCGCTTTGATTTTGAGCACGCCCACGTTGTTGCTACGGATGCCACTAAAAGTGGCCGGTTATTGAAAGAAACTTGGTTTTCAGACCGGGACTCTATTAACCGGCACGTGGACATATGCCAGGCACAACAGACCCTCAAAGCGTGGCACAATAATCGCCATAGCAGAGGCCTGGACCGTAGAATGAATGTGCCCAAGACCATCGCCTTCCGGGATGCGGGGGCCGACGTGGCGGCCCAGGACCCCGAGTGTACTGTACAGGAAAATCCTGCCTGTAACCAGCAATGGCAAGTGCATCAACGTGCCTCTGGCGGACTTGGCACGAGGAGAAGACCCCAGGGCAAGATGGAACGCCCGTTGGCCGCAGAAAGAAAGAAGGAAGAATCAAAGTGTGGATTGAGGGTGTGGGATGATCGTGAATGCGTGGAGGAACAGGGCAGACTGAGAAGTGAAAGATCGAGAGACACACAGACTGCCGCGAGTGAAAAGGGGCGGGAGAGAATGGACCGAGGCTTGATCGGGCATTCCCGCAATGAGGAAGTTGATCATAGGATGGTGGAAGGCCCCGGCAGATTATGTGGATTGGGTGAAGGATTTCGTGGAGGCAAGGATGGGGATGTAGGAGGAGTGGGGGAACGTGTGGTGGAATGCATGGAGGAACAGGGCAGACGGAGAAACGGAAGATCGAGAAACGCATGGACTGCCGCGAGTGAAAGGGGGTGGGAGGGAACAGATCGTGGTTTGATCGGGCAGCCCCGCAATGAGGAAGTTGACCACAGGATGATGGAAGCCCCCCACAGGCTTCGTGGGTTGGATGAAAGATCTCATGGAATGGATGGGGGTGTGGGAGGGGTGGTGGAACACGGAGTTGTTTATTGGGGAGAACGTGGGGCCGATAGAGTGGAAGCACGGGGGATGGCAAGTGAGGCATCATCACAGCAGGAGAACTGGTTGGACAAAGAGGGCTCGAGTGCAAATGGGAGTGGAGTGAGTGTGTACTGTGGGTGCAGAGGGGGAGTGTGGAATGGGTTGCGAGAACGAGTAGGAGATGTACGGAGTGTCATAGCCAGAGGGGGGGGAGAAAGGAATCGATCAGGACTCGATGGAGAAGTCCGGCAAAGGAGGAACCGATCGAAAGTTTATCGAAGGCCCCCAGAGACTTCATGGGCTAGATGGAGGGTGTGGTAGAGCTACGGATGGAAGTGCGCTTGGGGCAATTGGACATGATGGTGATTATGAGAGTAAGAGGGGGGTTAATGATGTTGAAGTATGCAGGGTGTTAGGCGAGGATGCATTGTTGGAGGACTCGTGGAGCAAAGAGAGTTTGAATGTAGGCGGGTGCTTGAAGAGGGTGATGGATGGATGTGAATGGGGAATGCCCGACCGGCAGGGACGACAACCCTGCCAGCACCCCTTAACTGGACCATGCACGGAAAGAGAGCTCCGAAGCGCAAGAGGGCGACCCCCCACGAGGCGTGACAGTAGTAGTAGGATGGAAGGGTGGGGTAGTCGGTATGATGGCATAGAAAGAGGCGATCCACCCGACACGGATGAAAGAAAAAGGGGGGGAGAGGTTGGCAGCGGCTGGATTAAACCCCGTGAGACCGATGAGTTTGAGGGGAAGGAGGTGGGGGGTGGGGTGGATGAGAGGCATAGGAAAGAACCCCGTTGTCCCTGACAAGGATACCCAAGGGCCACATGGTGGCAGAGAAGGAAAGCAAAGGATTCACATGCGGGTAGAAGGAAGGCACCCAGCGTGCAAGAGCGCACACACCTGGGCCCGGTTACACGATCGCGTAGCCGGATGCAGGCACTTAGAGGCGGCATATAAACCCTCCCTAAAAACCGCCTTATCAACCCTGATGATGTCGGGAGAGGCCCGACGAAAGCTTGGTTGCCTGTATTTTAATAATATTTTAATTGCTCTTCTAGCCCACAACCTCTCCTCCTTCCTCCTTTCCACCTACCTACATCCCATCACCTTTCTAACCACCTCCTCGAGTGCAATTTGGGATACCAGCCGAGCATCTCCTCTTGTCAATACAATTATTGTTTACCTATAACATGTAAATACATCAATTTTTATAATTCCCCTGATCCCCTTCCCCCCCTGGACTTCCCGGAACCAAATACAGGACTAAGACACATCCCATTCCGTATCTAGATTACAATTTAACTAAACAAACATAATACAATCAATATATACATACTTTAACTCTAATAAAGCAGTAAGTAAAAACAATATATCTACTCAAAAACTATATAATATTTATTCACTCCATACTTTCTCTAAATATAATCTATCCACCTTCAACATTTAAGCTCAAAACAATTTTAAAAATCTAAATATCTATCAAACATCTTATATAATTTTTTTTTCTTAAATTTTACGCTTAAATTTTTTCTTCACTTTCTTTACTCTCAAGTCAATACTTTCAAGAAAATCTTAAGTCAATACTTCCTTCTTCAAAGCTGGAAAAGTAAAATAAAATCCCAATATTAAGTTTATCAAATATTTTGAATCTTTCAGAATACTATAAGTTACAAACATATAATCCTTTTTATATTATTTCAAATATTAAACTAATTTCTTCCTTTTCCATAAGTCTCACATTCAGCATCATCAACTTAACCATCCTTTGGCTTATGAAGCTTATTAAGCATTCCCTGCAAGTCTGTCGTTGCAGATCTCTTTGGCCTCGCCCCTCCCACTGGCTCCGAAGTCGGTGAATATGTTATAGATACAATTTCTTTTTGTTGTTGCTCTCTCTCTTTACACCTATAGGCAGCACGGGTCATTCTTTGCTCCTTTGAATTCACTCCCAACTTTTGTTGATTCTGAGGATCTCCTGAAGATAATGACATGGCCCCAGGTAATTCCACAACAAGTTGCTCCATCAAATCTTCCTATGCTTTAAATGTCGATGATGGTGACAAATCAGCTTTCAGGACCGACAAGTAAAAAATCTTTAGCTTTTTGAACAGAATTTAATCTGTATCTGGTCCCCGCCAAATTTACCACAATGCCCAAAGGAATCTCCCATCTAAAAGGCATCTGCCGCTTCTTTAACTCCTGAGTCAAAAAAGTAAAGTCCTTTCTTCTTCTTAAAATCTTAGAAGGTATTTCTTTTAAAAGTATAATATCTTGTGCAGCAATTTGAAATCTCTGCTGATAAAAAAGCTGTATAATTTCATTACGACGTACTCTTGTGGTAAAGTAAACAACCACATCTCTAGGTATATTTCTCTGACGTGCAACCCAGGAGTTTACTCTAAAAAAAATTTCTATTTCTCCACAAATCACCTCTGGGTTGCAATTCAATACCAGGGCCAAAGCTGTAACAATTTCCTCCTTAAATTTCTCTTGTAAATCCTCTTTAAGACCCCTAATTCTCAGAGCAAATTCCATTTCTCTGAATTGTGACATTACCATGTCATTTTGAAGAATTTCCACGCCTTCTTCTACTTTCTCAAGTCTGTCCTCTGTTCCTTCCATTTTCTCCACTAATTCATCCACCCATCCCTCTATACGATCAATATGAACTGCTAGTCCTTGAAAGATGTGTGATATATTTTCACAAAGTTCCTGATTTTTCTTATCCAGAAGTTCTTCTGTTTGTTTCACAGTCTGCAATGAGGACTTAGCTAAAGCCTCTTGTAGATCTTTAAGTGTAATGGAAGGAGGAGGTGATGGTGGGGGAGATCTAAGTTTTTGTTGTTGAATTTGCACAACAGGAGAAGAAATAGCTGTTTTAGGCAATGCAGAAACTCCAGTACGTTTTGAAGCCATTCTGCCAAATTATTTTTGAAACTCACAACAGCAGTTATAAACTTAAAAAAGCTTGACTTAAGAAAAGTTCTTTAAAGTCCTTTAAAATGCATCGTTCCACAACCAGAAAGAAAGTGAAAGTTTTCCTTTTGTTAGAAAGAAGCAGCGCTTCCGCGGCCATTTTCTTCTCACTTTCACTTATAGCAAATAACAAAAATCCCAGTAAAAACTTTGAGTTAAAGTCACAATTTAACTAAAGTAAAAATCCCCTGTCTGGTTCCGTCTGTTCAAAAGTTACTCACAAGCAGATACAAAGTAGCAGCAGTGGCGGCGACATCTAGCTTCGCTCCGAAGAGCGAAGATACTCCGAGCTGCGGAGAAGAGTCCAGACTCCGGGGGAGTTCATCACCTTCATCCCCCCAGGATCGTTCCTGGGGGGGGCTAGGGAACTCAACCCCTATCCAAACCAAACTCACTTTCTCCCCTTCGCCCGGGGAGAAAGTTCCGAGCCGCAAAACAGCTGATCCGTGCTGTTTTGACAGCTTTGACGCAGTCCCGGGCAGGAGGCTGAGAGAAAAGCCTCCATCAGCGAAGCCTCGCCACCAGAAGTCCCATGGTAGGACATTCTTATAGGTTATCCTCCTGCTTGAAGCCTTACTGTATATTATGGGATTACAGGGGAGCCTGGTAGATGATGCCTTACTCTGCCTGAAGAGGAACCTGAACTTTATGAACAGCATCTATTCCAAGGCTTTGCTGGCTTATGTCTTCACATTGGCTGGGGACACAGGGCTCCAGCAACAGCTCCTCAGAGATTTAGAGGAGAAGGTTCTCAAAACAGGTAGGAGGTACAGTTCTGCTTAAGAGTGTTCTGTTTGACCAGCTACTCTTCTGTGAACAGGGTGAGTTTTAAGACTCGCCTTACTAGATGACTTTAGGTGAGCTCATTTCATTTTCATGAGCTATGCATCATGTTTTTTAAAGAATGACTCCAGATTATTCTATTGAAATAGTGCAGTGGGACAATCCAGTAAAGGCCATTCTTTCGTTCATCGTATTTGAGGGAACAATTTTTCCCCGTAAATTTCTTTCAGGAAATAAGAGAAGTGGGAAACAATATTTCTATTATTGAAGATAAGCTATGAAAGGTCTCTCCAAGCAGCCATTGTTGGAGAAGTTAGGAAGCAAAATGAATGCCTTAAGCACCATAAATTTTTATAGCATATATTTCCTAAAATTTCATGAACTCTTCCTCTCAAAAGTTTTTTTCAAAAAATAAATTCATATGCTATAACTTCTTATTAATGCCCCATTTCATCCATACCTCTGCAAGTTATATTCTTGAGCTAAAACAAAGGTTATAACCAGGGCTTTTTTTCTCGGAGTTTTCCACCGCCTTGAGTTTGGACCGGTGCGGGAGTAGTTTGGGATCCTGGCGGGGAAATCTCTTGTCCTTACGTTCATTTTAAACCCTCCCCGATAAAGGCCACACCCTCCCCGATAAAGGCCACGCCGGCCGGGCCTTTTTCCACGGCCTTGCGCCAAGGCGGCGCAACCGGCTGAAAAAAAGCCCTGGTTATAACATTGAAAGGAAAAGGTAAACATTTCAAGAGTAAAAGAGTGCTTCTGCAATTGCCTTCAGAATTGTGTCTATTAGAGTGAGCTGATTTGACAGTGTCAAAACCCATATTCTAAAGCAGTGGTTCTCAACCTGTGGGTCGGGACCCCATTTGGGGTCGATCGACCATTTCATGGGGGTCGCCAAGCAAGGCTGTCCGCCATTTTTTTTGTCCGCCATTTTTTTGTCCGCCATTTTTCCCCCCTTTTCCGGCGGGTGCCTTACCTCCCTTGGACTGGGCCAGCTGGTGGTCGGCCTGCTCCGTCTCTGCCACTTGCCAGCTACGCCTCGGCCGGCGCAGGGGACGGAACCACGCATGTGCGGCGCTCCCGGGCAGGGAAAGTCCTCGACTTACGACCGGTTGGGTAGTCCTCGACTTACGACCGGTTGGGTAGTCCTCAACTTACGACCGGTTTAGTCCTCAACTTATGACCGGTTGGGGTCGCGGCATTAAAAAGGTTGAGAACCACTGTTCTAAAGGGATCACTTTCTTGCTTTAGACTCAAACTCTGTTCTCTCTATACTTCTGGGTTCTGCCATGCTCCTGGAGGGGAGAGGGGAAAGCACTGCGGGCTATTGCTTTATTTTCCTCTGTCGCTACATTGTAACACTTTGCTGTTTCTGCATACTTCCTCTGTGAACTATCTCTCCCCTTGATGTCAGCTAGAAAAGGGAGGAGGAGAAAGGAATGTGCCTCTGGCAAATGGTTTATCTCCGTGCTCGGAAGGGAAGGTGTGAAGAGCCGACAAAACATTGCTTCAACCCTGAGACAGCCCGGCGTTATCTACCCTTTCCCACAATGGACTTAATACCTGGGGATTGGTCCATTTGAACTGATCGGATGTCCCTCCATCTCAGCGAGGATGAGGAGGATCGCCCGGGGCATTCCAGCCGGCTGTTGGAACAGGCAATCGGCATGATGAAGATAGCCCTCGACTCCATGAAAGAGGAGAAAGCTGAACCCTACCGAGGCACCATCTGTCTGTGGTACAGCAAGAAAGGAAATGAAGGGGAGCCTGAACCTGAGACTTCGAACTCAGCCAAAGAAACCAGCGAGCCTGCCACAGTCACCACTGCTGCAGCCACCCCACATTGCATGGAGGCCACCAGAGAGAGAGGTGAGATGACACAAACAGAAAAAAAGGGCACGCTCCATCCAGAAGTTCCCTCCACTGGACGTGAAATTCCGTGGAGAGTCACGGTGCCTGGGATTCTTCCTAACCCAGGTGCTAAACTACATGGAAGAGTACAGCCGAGACATCCCCACCGACTGTGCCAGAATTTGCATTGTGCAAGCCGCCCTGGATGGCATCGCAGCAGACTGGGTCGTGGACCTGTACGATGCTGACTCTCCAGAGCTGCTGAATTTCAACCAATTCATGTTCTCCTTAGGCGCCGATTCAAGGACCCATTGGTAGATCAGAAAATCCAAAAGCAAATAAAGACAGTGAAGCAAAGCAGGCGACCGGTGGCCGAATACACCCAAGAGTTCCGGACCCTGGCCAGCAAACTAAATTGGCCAGAGGATATCTTGCTTAGTCACTTCAAAGATGGTCTAAACTACGACCTCTACGATGCTTGCCTCCCTCGGGGGGGATCCTCACTGGCTGCAAGACTGGTACATCCTAGCCGAGGAAGCCGAGATTGACCTAGCCAAGAGGGAACACAGAGGGGGAAGATGGGGAGAAACAGACTCAGACTCAACCCTTCCAAGACTGAGTGGCTGTGGTTGCCGGCTCCCAGGCATAGTCAGCTGACTCCGTCGCTGACTATAGGGGGCGAAATTTTGGCTCCCTCAGAGAGGGTGCGCAATCTGGGTGTCCTCCTGGATCCACGGCTGACACTAGAAGATCAATTGACGGCC